ATAGATAGATAGATAGATAGATAGATAGATAGATAGATAGATAGGTAGATAAACAGATAGGTAGATAAACAGATAGGTAGATAAATAGATAAGATAGATAAATAAAATAGATAAATAAATTAGATAGACAGACAGACAGAATAACTCTATTGTCATGTTGAATCTACACTAATTGGCATACATTAAAATGAAATATATTTGCATACAGCTCTCAAAGGGTCTCCACCTCCAATATACACTACATAACCATGACACAATAAACAAACAAATATGCGAATACCCACATATATTATATGACACAGAGAAACACCAGTCTAGTTCAGATGTACAAGGCAAGAAAAACGAATCTTGACTGTTTTCCTAAACCCATCCCCATGGACTTGCTGGGTAACATTTAATCAACCTATATTTGGCAAGGGAATAAGAAACTACTGAAACAAATGCTGCCTTTTTATTCTAAAAAAGAAATATTTTTTTTTGATTTTTTGCTGGATTTCCGTCCAAGTTCTAACCTGGCTGGTTATTCTTAGCAAGCTAAGACCAGCTCAGTGCTGCCATCAACAGGGTTTTTTTATTTCTATTCTTTTGCATTATCTTAATCAAAGAGCAGCTCTAGTTGCACTAGAGCTCCATCACTGGAGGTGTTTAAAAAGAGACTGGACAACCCTTGGTCTGAAATGGTATAAAGTCTCATGCTTGAGTAAAGGGCTGGACCAGATGATCTCCAAGCTCCCTTCCAACTCTGTTATTCTATTATTGGATTTAGGGTTCGACATTATATGTGACTCCAGCCATTTTCTGGTTAGCCATGAGTGAGGCTATTAACTCTAACATGGATGACATTCAGTGGAAGGCCACATGTTTGAAATATGTCGAATGCACGCATGACTAAAGAGGCTGAATGAGGGCAACAGGTAAATCAAGTCAAATCATCTACTGATCTTCCAAAGAGCTGCATTTATTAGGACAACTGTTACATAAATCTGGAAGCTTCCAGATCAACGGTACTTAACCTAAACAGGTAGATACCTCTTGTTCTCTTCAACTGAGCTTGCGCAATGGACATTCCTCTCTTGACTTGGATTTGCGCTGAAGTCAACGTTGAAGGGAAACAATTCCATCCGAAATGTGGGTTCATAAAAAGCATATTAGGCAGCCAGGGACCGGGCCAGTGTCACTCAGAGAAGGTTGGGGCGAAGTGGGAAGACCGGGCCAAATCTTTTTCACCCTACTTCCAACATTCATCACTACAGAGACCTTGTCAAAAGCCCAGGGGATTACAGGTGAAGTGCTTGGGCAGGAGTGGCCTGGATTACGCAAAGCGTTACAACGTTTGTGCAAGACTCAGTCCTGAGCTCAGCAACACGCAAACAGCCAAAAGGTGTGTTGCGAGACCTCACCTGCTATTGGTTCAGAACAGATTTGCAGCACACTGATACCTACTCCAAGTTCTCTAAACATTAAACTTTCTGAGGACGCTTAAATATACGAAGAGTTGCCTTTCCTGGAGTTAAAAAGTTTATTGTGAGCTTCATGGCTACTGCCTAGTTCTCAGCAGCCACCTTGCATTTATTTTCATGTCGGAAGATTTACTAAATCTACGTTTCAGGAATTTCTCATGGTATCTTTCCTTCTCTCCTTCCTTTTCACATCTTCTAGGCCAGGAGTCCCCAATCCTTTCGGAACTGGGCTGCGCGAGCGTGCACACACGCGGCTCCACTTGCACAAACGGCGGGTGAGCGCATATGCATGCAAAGCTCCATTTGTGCGAGGGGTTGTGTGCCCACTGCTTGTGCAAAGGGAACTACGCACACACACTTGCTCACCTGCAGCCACCCCCTCTCCCCCTACCCACCAGTCCACAACGCTGGAAAGGTCCCTACCATCACCTCACCATCAATGCTTCAAGATGAGCTTCCCCAACTCCCAATCCACAGCCCACCAGGAACTGGGCTGTGTAACTAACTGAGCAGAGCCCCATCCTTGCACGTACATGCTCCAGGCAGCATGCAAAACCACATCCTGCCCTCCACAGAACCAGTCCCTGGTGCCCAAAAGGTTGAGGGGTGCTGCTTTAAGACGATAGTTTCAGCCACAGTGATCATTTCCAGAAAGAAGAGAAAGTTTAGTACCCCACGTTCCTGCAGAAGGGGGCCGAATTATTTAGTTTTATAAAGCAGCAAAGCTTCTAAACTTAACACATATATCCGCTGGCCCCCCCTCATATAAGAACAATGGTCTGCTAAACTCAGCAGCACACAGACAACTTCAAAAAGTCTCTTAAAGAGGCCCAGTGGAAATGAGGGCTAAGCAAGCCTCCCAGTTTCAAAGCTTAGGAAATATGAAGTTTAACGCTGAATTTGCAAAGACTTCCAAGCACTGAGGGATGTTTCTTCAAGGCAGCATTAATGGGAAAATGAGGCCTTTCAGGCTCTTTGGTCCCAAGGCTGTTCGGGGCTGGGAGGAGAGCCAGAGGAATACTGGGAGCCATTGTTGGCGGCCAACTATTCAACAATGACCTCGCACATTCCCTGGGACCGGCCCCCGTTTGAGCAGAGCAGACTCCGGCAGCTTTCACTCGCTTGCATCCACTTTGTGACATGCCCGGCTCGCTCTCGGATTTTGAAATCCTGCAGGAATATATGGTCTGCTCAAGTTAGGGAATCCGGCATCTGCCAGAGGTTCAGCGCTCCAGCTTTCATCGGCGGCCAGTGGAAAGCTAATCCCAGTGGAATTGATGCCGCCCCACACTACGCAACAGGATCTACAGAATCCAGTGCACTTCGAAACAGGTATGTGGTTAAAAAAAATAAAATAAAGATCCCGATGTCCATGTAAATATTTGAAAGCACAGAATAACGAAGGCTGTTTGCTTTTACTGGGGACCACAAGTCTTGCTTTCTTCCACGTGTTAGATAACAACTCCCATAATGCCCAACCATCTATTATGATACTGACTAGGAATGAGGGAAACTGCAGAGCACTAGTTTGGAAAAAGCCACCTGGGTATAATGTTTTTGCTTATTCCTGCTTTCTTAGTCTCAAGATTGCCTGCGAAAGCTCGTATTTTAAAATGTGAAATAAAAGATATAAATGAACAGTGCGGTGAAGCATGTGTTACATAGGTAGTCCTTGTTTAAGGGCCAGTTGCTTAGCAACCATTCATAGTTACAAGGCACTTATGACCCAGTTCTGGAGTTGCAACCAGCAGTGCCCCCTTTCTGTGGCCACATAACTTCATTTGGGGTGCTTGGCAACCAGCTTGCCTTTAAATCACACGATACAATTTCATGAGGGATTTTATTTTGGGGGTTGTTTTGGCCAGAAACCAGCCTTTTCAACCCGTTTTTGGCCAAAACCCGCCCACAGGAATGCACTGACTTGCTTAAGGTCTGCTGCAAAAAAGGGGTCATAAGATTATCAGGTTATTCTCTATTCTATTCCATCCCTATCCAATTCAAGCCGCCAAGGCTGGACACTCCTGCTCTACAGCAACAGCCAGCTTGACTGATAATTATGGCACCAAAGAGAAACCCGGCTCAAGGCACCTGCTGGATGCACGAGAGCTAACAGAAAATCTCTTCCCTCCAAGTGATAATCCTGCCCTGGTCACCGAGGAATTAAAAGGAAATTGGGTTACGACGTGCCCTGTTACCAACACGGGGGGAGCCCCGTCCACCAGCAACACACGCACACGCACACACACGCACACACACCCTGTGAGCCTTAGAAGAAAGGGGAGAAGACCACCTACCTCTTCAGCTCTTCTTCTTTGATCCTCTCCTCTTCCCACAGGAACACTCCAGTGAGGGCTGCCATCAGCTTGCAGGCGTTGGCATGATGACCCCGGAACCGGCGCCACAAGGAAGAGAAGAGACTCCTACGCGCCCTCTCCGAGTAAATGTTACTGTACAGCTGAGTGATTTGCTGAGCGCGCCTGATTCTCTGGCTGGTCACGTAGCTGCACTGATTGGCCAGCAGGGAGAGGAGGCTCTTCTGCCCCGGGTCTTGCTCGGAGCCTTTCCGAAGCCACGTAAGCAGCCACTGGTACTTGCTCCTCAGGAAGTCCTCACTCCACCACGCGTTCCGTGGCTTCCCTTCGTAGCTGATGAAGCGGGATGAGTTTGCGTAAAGGGAATAAAGGCTGGAGGGCGGCCTCCACTGAAGTGGGTGGAACATTCCTGCCACGCCTCACGGACCAGTCAATGCCCTGGAACCAAACCAACAAAACAAACACAAAGTCACAACACAGCACCAGTCACAACGTTTGGTATCTCCCTATTTGGGATTCTCCTCTCTTGATTGGGTAGACGGCATCACAATTAAAGGGAGCTTCAGTTTAGGGTTCAGAGAGGAACTTAGAGCAGCTACTTCAATAACCGATGTTAGCAATCCATTAGAGCAGAGGTCTCCAACCTTGGCCACTTTAAGACTTGTGGACTTCAACTCCCAGAATTCTCCAGCCAGCTGGCTGGAGAATTCTGGGAGTTGA